CCCAGACATCTACTCGCGAATTATCACTATTTACGATCAAGTGATCAAGTTGGTGTTCGAAATCTAAGTTATACAAAAGCGCCGCAGAATACATGGGTTTTACCAACTCGTCACCCGATCCAAAATACATGGGAGTGAATTTTTGACCAATCAAATAATTCCGTAGTAAATAGCAAAATCGGCTATTTACAAAGCCGGAAAGCGTGTTCTCCGAAAACTGAAAATTTCCCCCTAGATAAGTGGAGGCAGTAGCTTTGATAATTTTCCTTTCCATCAGTCACCATCACATAAAAAGGAAACCTAACGCGAAGTGGATAGTGAATGAGAAATTTAACTCTTATCGGGACATTCTATAAAAGAACTTCAACGGATGAATTATACGTTTGAATAGCCGCATTTTTAATAGCGTGGAAAGAAGCTCGTCGTATTCCTGCCGAGAATTTTAAAAGACAGTACGGAGACATTACAAATACTGGATGGTGAATTTATTCTTGGGAAATATTAAATTAGAACGAGCCGGTTGCTTGTCATTATCATAGGCCCATCTAGATGATGAAATATAAGGAAAGCCTAAAAAGTGTTTTTTTGACTTGACACTGAGGTTGAGAGCAAACTCGGACCAATAGAAGACTGGGCAAAAGAAATTTGTTCAACAAAATTAAACAATGGTAAGCTAAAAACAATGACTACAATTTGAACGGAAACTATTGTTTTTCCCACACTGTGTGATTATCTTGGGAAAATTCTCGTGCCAATCATTCCTTATGGTTCTTTCACTCTTTAGGCGTTGTCACAGTAGCTTCTCCCGTACCCGTATTTATCATTATTCTACAATGGCACCCAAAAAAGTTTTGGTATTCCTCGCAGACGGCAGTGAGGAAATAGAAGCTACTGTATCTAGTAAGTTGATCATAGAGTAAGGATTGAGGGAATTGATTAAAAGCACGCTTACAATTACACTGCTTTTACTCTCAGTTGATATATTGCGTCGTGCACGATTGGATGTAACCGTTGCTGGAGTCGCATTGAAAAACCCCGGCGCTTTTGCTGAATGTAGTCGTGGCGTGAATATTGTTCCCGACACTGCTTACGAGAATCTTGGTACTCCATTGGTTCGTATATAAATTCCAATGTTCCCGTCTTTGAAAGATGGCCAATGCTCTTTTATGTAACTTGGACGCTAATATGTAATTTATCGTCTGCTTTCAAAGGAAGCATTCGATGCGGTTATCATTCCTGGCGGATTGATTGGTGCCAAAACACTCGCCGAAAATGCTGAAGTGAAGAAGGCTTTGGTTACTGCTCACAATAACGGACACTTTGTGGCAGCCATTTGCGCTGGTCTGGATTTTATTTGTTACTTTGCGTGCGACGAACGATAAGACTTATAGATGTGATTTCAAAACTAGGTCCGATTGCAATAAAATCAGCCGGTATCAACAAAGGAGGTAAACTGACGTCCCACCCATGTGTAAAGGAAGAACTTGAAAAAGGTATTTACTTGGACACGTTATGTACTTTTTTTTGGACCCTTCTGCTCTTTGCTTTTCTGGCATATCAAAACGTCACATAATAAATCGGCCTTTTTAATCGGATACAGAATACGAATATCAAGAAGAGAGGGTCGTCGTTGATAATAAAGTTATTTCGAGGTATGGTCTAACGTGAGCGGTTAAACAAAACAAATTCTTACTGAATTCATTCATAAATTTTATTTATAGTCGAGGACCAGGAACAGCCTTCCTCTTTGCCCTCACAATCATCGAACAGCTGTTGGGCGAAGAGGTACGCGAGGAAGTATCAAAACCGCTGATGCTTGCGCCCACCCTGTAAATTAGCACTAATCTACATACATATCCCAACGTTCTTTAATGAGAATTGTTTGAGTTTTATATGTTATCAATAATTACATTAAAAATAAAAACACGTAATACACAAATAATTCTCTCGATTCATTCTTGACTCAAGTTAATAAGCACAAGGTGCTTTGAAGTGAGAACCAGAATTATTCCATCACCAACCATTTGAATACCGATAATATCAGCATTACTCGCCCTTCCGGCGACGTCAACAATAAGTTGCTGGTCGTGAATATTTTTGGGCCCATGGCTCTGATAAATAAATGCATGCCGACTGCCCTCGAGAATGACGACAAAGCGGTGGTTGGGATCGTGATACATACACCTCTTTTCGCGCTTGGATGCCTGAACAAAGCCAAATGCATTGAACGTCGCAACATGATCGATAGCCAAGGGTGAGGAGCTTGTTGATGTTGATGAACGATTGTCGGCATTATGAGAAATAGCATATACAAGTCCATCCACATCGTGCTTCAAGCATACGGAAGGTAGTCCGGTCTGATCTTTCTTTTGCCAATGTTCAAATTGGCGACACAAAAATTCATGATCGCTTCCAATAGTTTTCGCACCAACTACTCCTTCCCTATCAACCCAAGCAAAAATAACGGATTGTCCTTCGTAATCGATCGATTCCTCTATTTCGTGTCCAATCGGATGCTGAAGAGGATTGAACGATTCTGGACCACCGTCATCCAACATTCCGGTAGTATATCTTTCCAACCGTTCACGAAATTCGGCGAATTCATTTGGGTCTAGTGTCTCTAAGACTCCATCATCGTGTTGGAATACATGCGTCCATCGCGTACCGTGATGTTTTTTTTCAATGTGCAAGGTAAGCAACCCTATTTTTGTTTCTATCGTCCAGAGAGAGGATTCCGGCTCCATAAAGTCAAAGAAAGGAGTGAAAACATATTGTGGTATAGATGTTTCTGTAGTAGAGCTTGGAGCTGGCGGATTGTTGGAAAGATTGACAGTCAAAGATAAATGTGTTCTCGTGAAATGATAGTTAATGGCCGCCCCAGGCGTTCCATGGGGTAATTGGAAACATACCGTGACGTCCGATGATGTCTGTTGCCAAACGTATGGTGGTGGTTTCTGTTCACCAGCACTTGATGACTGTGACTGATTTCTTTTCTGTTTATCCAATTCACCCTGTTGTCTAGTTTCAGTCGGTCTAAGGACTTCATACCCAATGGTACTACCAATTACATATCCATCTCCATGCGAATCGATTGAACAATAAAGGGGTATGTCAGGTCCACGAAGGGCGTTGACGATTTGTGACCGATACGGGGGTTTCACGGCCAACTCGACTAAAGAAACATCAAACAACGTTTGGATTGCCCCTCGCTGTATATCTTCTGAAGTGGGATTAGAACGAAATGCTGTATTATATACCATATACAATATATACGCATTCTCGCCTTCTCCTATGATCTTGGCGTCCAATAAGACACAGGGTGTCGGTTTTAAATCAGAAACAAACTCATATCCATTATCGTCTAAAACGTGACCGTAGAATGCAGTTGCACAGATAATTTCACCGCGATATCCAGGAAAATCAGAGTTCTCAATTAGTTTGACGAGGTAAATTCCACCCGATCCATCTGATACTAGTACAAGCGTTGGAGATAATGCACGTAGCGAGGGATATTCTTTGTTTGACGTATCTGACACCGATTTGGATATTTCAGTCAAATTATGCGTCGTGACAGTGTTGGATTTCTATAATATTGATTAATAAATCAACAATGGGTACTTGGGAAATAACGCGTCTCTCTAACGAGTTAATAAGAGTAAATACACTCTTACTACCGAGTTGTATTCCACAAGCACAAGCCGTAGGTCAGAATCAAAGTAGAATGCCGCGCCTTTTCCTTCGTCCAAATTATATCCGCTAAACAGGTGGTTATACAGCACACGACTCTGTACTTCTTTATATGATAGTTGGGTACCAGAAGGTACCATCTGAATGCTGATTCCTGGCGCAGGAAGATCTGTTCGTATTATGCATTCGTCTTCATTCAAAAGCTTAAGTTTGTAACCTTCAAATGTAGGATTAAGTAGGTCACGATTGGGTCTTATTTGAACAGTCGTCGGAATCCCTGTGAAGGGCATTTGAGACTAATATAAGCAGACAAGCCACAGAAGATTTGGGGGTTAAATTGTAGTGTCACATTATAATTATCCTACTACGAAATCCAAAACCATAGCACTGCTGACATTATTATTACTACTTTAAATTACTTTCTGCATATTTATAATGAAAAGAATGAAAATGAATGTTACATGTTATAATCATCGCCTCATATTATTAGTCTCCATAATTGACATTTAAAGACAAACCTCTCTAAGCGCGCGCCCATTTTGGGAAAAGGCATAGAGGGCAGGATACGTGGAGCGCTTATAAGTTGGGGCCGTGCATTTATGAGGTCTGAATGAGAATTCATACAGCCTCAAGAATGATGTACGCGTACGCAGAGTGAGCTGTTCCATTGCTTTATTAAAGCTTGGAGACGGCCTAACGCTTTGGTATTTCAACCAGTGCAATTGCTTCTATGCCGTGTTCATTTTTTCGAAATAAATTGCTTGTTGATTATTATATTCTCATAATGTTCATGGCTTTTGACGCGGACATTCTTTCAACGGTGACAGCCGAAACTGAGACCTACAGATGTTTCACTAACTCGTTTGATTAATCTTATTAATTGCACAATAGATATTATAGAGTCCATAATGCTGGTACATGTTGTGTAGTTATTTCAATATTGTGTAGGGGTAATAATCAGTCCAAGGAAAAGGAGAGATGAAACCCTCTCAGTTTAAGGATAGAAGTAACCAAAAGCGTATTGTCCTGACTGGGGCGAAGTAAGTAATAAAGCAAGGAATTTATTTTACTCGTTATAAAATTCACATATTGTTGACTGGTGTTTATAATAATTCTCAATATTAATATAGACATATAGTCGCAAATAATTTATGACAATTAAACAAATTAGTCTAGGTTTTTATGACGACGGAATCACGTCACTCCTAAGGCAAAGATAATAATAATGGTTTGGATTTTTACTGAGATATTTGTTTATACCTCGTTATGTTATTGATGACTTTGCTATTTCATTTGATGATTTAGAAAACAAATACAGTGGCACCTCAACAATAATAAGTGCACCTTCCATAAATGCACACCCACACTGTAGCTTGGGACTTTCCATATTTTATATTTTACACGTTTCCCATAAGTGCACAGGCGAAATTTCAGAAAATCAGCCAATTAAATCGTCGCGATTTCAATCTAAAGGAAATCGTGTTACGATAAATATTATTGGTGTATTCCAAATCATATGACTTGGTCGCATGACTCTTTTAATGGTTACTCAGTCTTCCCAAGCTTAAAAAAAAATTGTTTCCGTGCCCAGTTATTTTAGCGGGCGCTTTGCCCGCTAAAATGGACGGCTAATAAACCTCAAAGCCCATCGACGAGGTGTCGTGCGTCGTATATACTTCCTGCTCCGCTTGAGCACATACGACTAAAGGACTATAAAAACGTGAGCCATTAAACTAATTCAGTGTTTTTTATGTGGAGTTTCAAGAAGGTTTAACTGAGCGGATACGTTAAAAGTTTGGTTCCGGTTTTACTATAATGGCAAATATAATTGCTAGTAGATGAAAACACACCCCCCTTTCCAATTTGCTTATCGTCTCTCGTTGTTTACAGTAGACGCTTTCCTTACCAGAGGTCAGCTATCATATACAACGACAAAAAAAAATCCCTCTCGAAGCTGGTATGTATTCCGGGAAGACAATATTATGTTTCTGTTTATTTTCTCTCTGACCCTATCCAAGCTTACTTTCTTTCAACAAACTGTCGTAAACTTATTGTCTTAGCTTATAGTGTGACTATCATTAATTCACATGATGTCCACCTCGAGTTGGATTTCGACATGTTCTGGCGTCTATACAGCAGCCAATCGTCCTCCTCCCTCTCCATCTCGGATTACATAGTTTATCACTACTTTGCCTCCTAAATCCCGCTGAAAAGAAAGTAAGTTATCCACACATAGAGTGATCGTAGATGAAACACACTCTCTTTCCAATTTACTTATCGTCCCCACCCCCTCTTGTTGTTTACAGCGAGACGCTTTCCTTACCCAGAGGTCAACCATCATATACAACGACAAAAATAATATCCCTCTCTCGAAGCGTATGTATTCCGGGAAGACAATATTATGTTTCTGTTTATTTTCTCTCACTCCAGACCCACCACGCACACCCTATCCAAGCTTACTTCCTTTCAACAAACTGTCGTAGACTTATTGTCTTAGCTTATAGTATGACTGTCATTAATTCAACGTAAAGTTAAAATCATTAAACTAACCGTTCCCTCTTATATTTGGTCCTAGTAGTACACATGATGTCCACCTCGGGTTGAATTTCGACGTGTTCTGGCGTCGATACGAGCAGCCAATCGTCCTACCTCTCCATCTCGGATTACGTAGTTTATCCCAATTATCCACACTACTTTCCCCTTAATGTAAGTTATCTACACAGAGTGATCGTAACTGGCGTACTAGTAGATGAAAACACATCCCCTTTCCAATTTACTTATCGTCTCCACCCCTCTTGTTGTTTACAGTGAGACGCTTTCCTTACCTAGAGGTCAGCTATCATAACAACGACAAAAAAAAAAAATATCACTCTCGAAACGGTATGTATTCCGGGAAGACAATATTATGTTTCTGTTTATTTTCTCTCTGACCCTATCCAAGCTTACTTCCTTTCAACAAACTCTCGTAAACTTATTGTCTTAGCTTATAGTGTAACTATCATTAATTCAACGTAAAGTTAAAATCATTGAACTAACCGTTCCCTCTTATATTTGGTCCTAGTAGTACACATGATGTCCACCTCGGGTCGGATTTCGACATATTCTGGCGTCTATACGAGCAGCCAATTGTCCTCCTCCCTCTCCATTTCGGATTTCATAGTTGATCCCGCCGAAAAGTAAGTTATCCACACAGAGCGATCGTAACTGGGCGTACTAGTAGATGAAAACACACCCCCTTTCCAATTTACTTATCGTCCCCACCCCTCTTATTGTTTACAGTGAGACGCTTTCCTTACTCAGAGGTCAGCTATTATATACAACGACAAAAAAAAATAATATCCCTCTCGAAGCGGTATGTATTCCGGGAAGACAATATTATAATTATGTTTCTGTTTATTTTCTCTCTGACACCACTCCCGAACCCCCCACCACACGCACACCTTATCCAAGCTTACTGTTCCTTTCAACAAACTGTCGCAAACTTATTGTCTTAGCTTATAGTGTGACTACCATTAATTCAACGTAAAGTTAAAATCATTAAGCTGACCGTTCCCTCTTGGTCCTAGTAGTACACATGATGTCCACTCGGGTTGGATTCTGGTGTCGATACTAGCAGCCAATCGTCCTCCTCCATCTCGGATTGCCCAATTATCCACACTACTAAGAACTAACTACTCGATCCCGCAGAAAAGAAGAGATCGAGCTTTTCCCAACGAAATGCCAGTGATCATCTTTAGTGTATACAAAATGTAGACACAGTTAAGGAAGTCTATTATTGCGAAGCAGGAGAATTCCTTTTGGTGATTAATCAATAGTCTCCAACAGTGATAACAAAGTTATCTAATTCGAATCTGCAAGCGACGTCCAAAAGACCAATCCAATTGATGACCTCACTTGAATCGTGAGTCACTTTTCCTGTGTAAATAAATAAATCTAAATCAGTTACCGTTACGAAATGACTGTTTTAAATTAGATAATAAACATTTACCTAAGTAAAATTTCAAAGACTTCAGATGTCACATCTTCAAAGTCATAACTGTCCGTTGAAACTCTTCTGTATTTTCAACCATCATCTCAAAATATGTGCTTCTCGCGCACAACACTGCATGAGCAAGAAAGATTTTATTGTTTGGCTCTCTTCCAACATTGATCGAGACATCTGTATATTGTTGCTTTCATAAAGCTTTTCATCTCCGTTGATGGGTTTGGTTGATCAATTGGCTTTTAAATTAACATAATTATAATAAGTAATTTTATTTTCTATGAATTTGCTGATCACCCTCTTATCACATGACGTCAATCGAAAAAATTGGTCTAAAAAATTGTTTGCAAGCATTATACGTCAAACAAATCAATTCACTATGCAGCATATTAAACAAGGTAGTCATTTAACATCCATTGCACATAGACATTTCTCCAACAATATTCCGACTTCACGAATAACACAACAATTTATCAAATACAATGTACGCATCAACCAGATGCGATTAATATCTGTCAATTGCAATTTATTATCACAAGCTAGTACGCCGATTCATCATCAATCAAGACGTAACAATGTTGGATTATTGGCAATATCTTCGCGAACAAATTTTTTCGTCCAGGTGCGGCCGAGGAGTACAGGAACAGCCGAGAGCATTGACACAACCGTCGATCCCTTTACAAAAACATTTGAAATAGAGTCGAATGGCCGCACTACGGCCGAGCGTAATGAACTGATTCGAGCTCTAAAGATAGAAAATAAAGCCTTATTAGCAGAAACGGAATTTGTCCGTATGAAGACAGAAGGATTACAACCAAACACGCAGACATACAATCTCTTGTTAGACATGTACATGACGACGTCTGATTTGGAATCTAATGCGGGAAGAAAGATTTGGTCTTTATATAACGAAATGATTGAATCAGGTGTTTCACAGGATACAACAACCCATACGGCTGCAATTAAAGGACTATGCAATCGTGAAATACAAGTTCGCTCATCCATGGAACAACTCAAAGCTTTACCCTGGCAGAAATCAACCAGGAAGGACAATTTCAAAAAAGAGTCTAACGTCGAATGGGCATATTCAATATTTAGCGCGACAAAAGATAACGAATCAATAAAGTACAACAGCGACACTTGCAACACTCTAATACACGCATTAGCAACCAAGGGCTTGGTCGAAGAAGCATTAAACGTGTTTGAAGCCATGGAATCACGTGAAATAATGCCTTCATATATGACGTTCAGCGCATTGATCGAGGCATATGGCAATGCTGGCGATGCCGATAGTGCCTTAGCATGCATGCAAGAATATCAAGCTGTGGCCCAAGAGTTACCAATACACGGTTCGCATTCTTTATACCATGCTCTCTTACGTGCATACGTCAAGTGTAAGAAAATCCCCGAGGTCTATCGACTGATCGAGAGCATGTCGGCAGCCGGAGTTACTCCCGACGTCTTGACCTATGATAATCTGATCCGGGCATTCTTCGAATCTGGAGAGTATCAATTAGCATACGATTGTTTCTTGGAAATGCAAACATCGAAGAATATGCCAAAGCCGGATTCGAGTATTTATAGGCTGCTCCTCTTTCAATTCTCTGTTGCCGGTCATTACGAAAGGGCTTCCGAGATCTTTAACGAAATTACGAAACGTAATATCACACCATCGTTTACAGAGTTGGCTGTCTTTATTCATTTGACTCAGGAGCATGATATTAAGCGCGTGCCTGTGTTATACGAAAAAATGTTGGCATATGGCCTTTACCCTGAAATTCCTTTCCTTGAAACTGTCATCTCTCGACTGATGTCAAATAACAACGTGTCGGATACATTGGTCATATATGAACTTACAGCAACTACATTGGTAAGAGATGGTATAATAAAAACACTTATCGGAATGGTTCCTCTGGCAGAAACTATTCTCAACAACCCGCAAGTGCGTATACACGACGCACTCAAGGTTATGCGGATTTTTGCCGTTGTGAATAACATGATACACACGTTGCGACGGGAATTTACGTACGCGCGTCGAATTTTTAGATTCGACAGACACATGAGTTTGACGTTGCTCCAAAAATACGAATTGGCTCGTAAGACAGAAGGTTTAGGTGCTGTCGCTTATCGGGATTATAATTTGCTGGTCGAAGCATTGCTTAGAGCGGGCGGTGAACATTTTGAGAATATCACGTCAGAGGCGTTTAAAAAGTTTGCGTATTATATCGTTGAAGACTCGAAGAAATCTGAAGCTCCCCTATCGTTCAAAGAAATCGATAAATTACATAGAGGTATGGTCACTGTATGTGGAAAGGAAGAAGCGGATAAACTTCTTCGAGATATGGATGCGGAAAAACTCCGTCAGCCATCGCAGCGAGACATTTTAGAATCGGACAAGCTTTTTGCTACCGTGTCAAGTGTATACACTACGCACCCATCCTTGGTTCTTGAAATGGTGAAGGATATTATTAGTAGAAAGATTTATCCAACTCCAGAAGTTATGGGGAATGTCATTCGGAATGTAGGGAAAGTTAAAGATATCGTTGTCGCGCAAGAGTTGTATGACATCGGCATGGAAGTTGCAAATAGATGGGCTCCATCAATCAAAGTAAAAGCGCAAATGCTTGCGCGTAATGCATTACTATATTCTTATGCTACTGTCGGTAACGTTGAGCAAGCTCTAGAAATTTATCAAGAGATCATAGCCCAAGGGGCCAAAGTACAAGCTAATTGTTACGCCGCATTACTTCTTGCAAGGTCGGAGACTGCCCTCGACGAAGCCGAGCTTGCTATCGATACTTACGAAGAGGCTAAGAGGCATGGAATAAGTTTCAACACGTATCTCTACAACGTACTAATCAGCAAATTGGGTAAGACAGGTGACTTGGAAATGGTCCATCGGTTGTACGAGGAAATGAAAGCACATAACATTCAAACCAACTCTGTCACTTTCGGTGCATTGATCTATGCTTATTTACGAGTGGGTGACGAAGACAGGGCAACCGAAACGTTCGTTAACTTGAAGCAGGTGTTCAATAACGACAAACGCTCTGGGCCGTATAAGACGATGATAGAGTATTATGTGAGAGACAAGCCAAATAGAGAAAAGGCGCTATTTTATTTTGACGAACTTCAACAACGAAATTTACCATTGAATGACGAGATTTGGAACCTGGTGATAGAAACATATGCTGCTATTGAACCTTATGACATGCAAACCGCTCTTGATGTGCTGGATCGAATGAGGGCTCAAAGCAATATCTCTCCAACCGTAAACAGCTACGCGACACTAATACGCGCATATGGTGTTAAACAGCACGATGTTGATAATGCCATAGGGATGTTTGATTCAATCACTTCTGAGCACAATCTTCAACTGACGCCTACAGCCTACCATGCATTAATGGAAGGTCTCATCGCTAATAACAAATTGGATCTTGCAGTCGAATATCGTAAAAGAATGATTGAAGAGAACGTTGGAACGACAACAGATATTGAGAACATGTTTATCCAAGCATATGGAGAGGCAAAGCGATGGCAAGAGGCTGAGGCAGCCTTCTTGGGTCTAAGTAGCGATTTCGCAAAGAAGAGCGACAGTAATAATGTATGGAGGAATGCTCATTCATACAAGAATATGTTGGAGGCTTACCTGAATAGTGGGAAAGCGGCGGAGGCAAAGAAGCTGGCTGATGACATAGAGTCTGGGTCATTTCCTAAATCGCTAAAGGGAATGGCGTCAGAAATAATGAATCAAGATAAAAAAATCGACATAGAAGCATAAGAAACTGTTAATATATTAATTCATTTCGGTGGGAGCGAGATGGTAGGGAGGGTAGTGTAGTATGGACAGTATTCGTGACATTTTGCGGTTCCATTTGGATATACGTCAAATTGCAACTTGTCACTCTAATGGTTATTTCGGGGGGATTTCTATAATGCGAGACTCGACTGACCATGTTTCTCTCACATTCTCTTAATTAATCTCCATAACCTCGATACATTATCTAATATTGAGTCTTCTACGAACTGAATAAACTCACACGAAATATGTCACAAGTAAGATTGCCGTTTGATATATTTTTTATAAACCGCAAGTTTATCGCGGATTCTCATTATCAGGATAGAGTTATTATAATCGCTTATTACTGTCTAAATGAATTAACAACCTAATAAAATAATATATTGCTATACAGAAAAGAACATCATAAATATGAGATCACAGCAATGCACCACTCTTCCTCACTGAAGATATGTAAGCTATAACGTTCATTAAAGTAAACAACAAACTTCCGCTTGCTATTTCCCGAAGTATATTCCCATTCCAAGTCCCATTTCTCCAATGCTTCACATCAAACCATGTTCTAGTTCCGTCTGCAGCAGCAAGGACTAATAATACGACTTTCTGCGAACTCAAAGCTTTGTCTGTTAGCCTCAATGCTAGTAAAGACAACAATGAAAGAGCAAGTTGCACGCCACCAAGATATTCCAAAAGATCAACAGCTATTTGTGGTGGATTAGTCTGTGGTAGAGACGTGTTTGAATGTCTTTTGAAGAGTCTTGTCAAAAAACCGAGCGTTTCTGGCTTGGCCTCTGACATATTTTTTTGTAAATATCTATTTGAATGTCTAGTGAACTGCCTTGCTAAGAAGCCGTGGTAGATAAAGTTCAAGACCAATGGTAGATTATTGGATTCAAACAATTTGAACAGAAGAAATTCTAAAAAGGAGAGCAAGTGGCCAAGAACGAGGCGTATGGTCGAAGGATAGGAAGACCGCCTGCGGACATGGTGGCGCTTTTTTGGATGTTCGTCTGGTGGCCGATATGGTTGAGTTAAGTGACTATTTTCTACTGGTTGGTCGTTCGGTTCGTAAGGTGAGTTTGTCATCGACGAATGAGCGAGTTATGTGTTCATAAGAAGTGAATGCTCTACCATTGATATCTGTATAAAACGTACAGACTCCTAAAACGGTACTCATAGATTGAAATCAATCTCTTGAAAATAAACGGTAATTTTTCTTGATCAACTGATTACTTACTAACTATGGGTTTGGTGCAACAGAAATGTAGACATTCTTTGAATATACGCAAGCTTTCATTTTTGTTTTATACTAATTTTTATTGTAAATAAACAGTTTGCTTAGCCCATGTTTTGTGCGGCGTCTTCATCAATTAATGTTAAATCTGGATATGTCGAGTGTGTCTTGTAATCAGGAAAGATGAGAATTTTGTATTTCTCTTGAGGATAGTGAAATTCTGTATAAAGGCGCCTGGTTTTTTGTAGTATTATTTCTACTTTGTGATGTCTATGACTGCTCAACTCTGTTACTATCGATAAATGTATCAGTTGAAATTACGAAATTATTAGGCATCCTTTTATTCCTTCATCTTTAATGACGACATCAGTCCTTACCTTGGCCCTTTGCGTGCTGGTCATTTCCAAAGACTTTGTGTACGTCTGTAATGAGTCTTTTTCCTCTGGATTTTACTTGCACTTTGGTAGGTGATCTTGTTCTGAGCCAGAGTTTAAAAAATGTTGTTTATTTAGAAATGTGAATCACTTGACAGAGTTCGGAAATGTTCGAAATCATGCCGACGACATGTGACATTATTATTTATTATACAGTCCCCGGCGAAAATAATGGCGGTGACAATCGTTTTTAACATTTTATAAAAATTCAATACAAAAATCGGTTATCTGTTATTATAGTAATATGTAAACGTATTATTATTATTACTTTTCTTATTTACTTAATATGTCAGGCATAATTAAAAATACCCTTGTCTTTATATTTGCATTTTAATAATCTCAGTGAGATTTGGATTGACTAATAACAGTCTCAAATCTACCATAAGATGTTTGCGTTTTAGACTTGTTAATTAAATTTAGAAGATTACAAGTCGAAAAATTAAAATATAATTTTTGCCTGATATAGTCTAATCTGTTAATGTAAAAAAGTTTTTACATTTGCTTCTTGTCAACTTACTCAAAATTTTATTCATAATATTAGGTTTAAATTAATATAGATCTAAAAGGAAGCCACTTTTCATCTTGGTTTTTTGCAAATTATAATATTAGTCTTGAACTTCTGTTAAATAAAAAATAATAAGAACAAAATTGATATATTAAAAAAATACGGGCCGCCATTATTTTCGCCGGGGACTGTAAATGGCTTAATGACAGAATTATAGAATTTAAAACAAAGATAAGACAACATTAAAAATTATAGAATTTAAAACAAATATAATAATAAGACAATATTAAAAATTATAGAATTTAAAACAAAGATAAGAACATTAAAAATTTCCCACACCACCCAAACCCAAAAAGTTCTTGCTACTTGTCGAGGTTGATATTTCCTTAAATCCTCAATTATATCTCCTCTATTAGTGAGGATGATATCATACCTCGATAATCTAGCCCACATACGGGCCCACAGAGAGAACCGATTACCCACTAAGATACCTACAGTACCTGGTGAGCAATCGGAAAGTGTCCCCTTTAATTCCCGGACGTATTGGACCCCTAAAAATACGGTATTATATTAGTATAGTGTCAATTCTTTTATAAAAAATAATAATAATTACCAAGTGTATGTTCATGGTCCTTGCATTGGATGGCGTAAGTTATACAATTATGTATAACGACTATATCAATCCCGCCATCTGGACTGTAAATAACATAAGAATGAGTAATTTCATCATCATAGTCAGAACCAATTGAAGAACGTTCACAGCAGGTCGTCCACCGTACGCCAGGGCTGGGTACCTGACTGGCGACTTTCGCAAGCTGTGGCCACGATTCGCTTATGGATAAGCCACAGCGCAGCGTTCGGCAACAGAGAAGAACAACAATTATTCAGATATCATATGAAAATGATAACTTTCAAGTTGTGGTTTCAATTCTCTGACATTTTACACCTAGTGATATGTATCAATAACCATTAAACAAACACTTCTTACCATTCGAAGGGGACATAACCTCCTCCCCGTAAAATCACCCTAATAACTTCTTCAAACTTTTCCCTCTTTCGACGGAACTCGCCATTCTATAGATGAAAAACAAAGTTTAGTAATATCTTATTAATAACAATCTTGAACATTAACATTCTATTATTAGTTTTAGTATATCCCTCATGAATATTCCAGGCTTACTTTATTGTCAATCCACCCATACATTGTTGTACTTGTTTTTCGTCCGCCTCGTTGGCCTTGCACACTTTACGCATGTGGGTCCGAAACGACTTGGACTAAGAAGTTTTGTTCGCAAAAAAAAAACATAGGGTAGATGATAAGTAAACTGCCATTGCGGTACTATCTAACAATACTGTATAAAAACTCACCTGTTCTTCTCGACGAACTTTTTCGAACGCGACAAGGACGTTATTAATCCTTGCCGATCGTTCTTCGAACATTTTGTGCATAAACAACGTTCTACGAGTAGAGTAAATATCAAATTTAGTTGAAAGAGCATTCCTTGACTCTATTCCATCGTTATATCACCTTTGCAACAAAGTTTTAACTGCTTCTCGGCATTTTTTCAAAAACATGGCGAGTTTTCGCAGCAGGCAATAATTTTATATTGAAAAAACAATAACGTTTGTCTTCTCGCTGATATGGTAGCTTGCTTTAGCAGTTCAAGAATATTTGGCCTGTGACTGTATCTATTACTATAGCTAGATCGACATCATCGGCCAATAGTAATAAGACTTGGGCATTACACATAAAAAATATTATTATTAATATATCACCAAAAGTCTAAGAGATAGCCATGTCTCGAGCACTCACGTCATCTTTTAGGCTTACATCCTACTTTTCAAACATAATTTTTACACGCCCATTCTCAACGGCGGCGTTAAATAATTCATCAAAACCTGATCATGTCCGGACGCTTAAGAAACCAGTTCAATTCGGTGTGAAAGAAAGACCCGATCCCAATAAACCCGGTGATGTCAAACCAAGTCTATTAGAAAGATCAAAAAGGCTACTCGATCCGGCTGCAAATGCTGAAACGAGAGAGAAATTGTATGAAAAATGCCAGGCTGTTCTTCTTGGGACAGAATTGCTTCATTGCTTGACAGCAGCATCAACCTGGTGTTATTTAACGAGATATTTTTGGGTCTAACTTTCACAGAATGGCAGAATTCAAAGTGTCATATTGGAAGGATTTCCATGAATTAAGAAATGAAGGTGAAAAGGTATGGAAGGCGGATGATGAACTTATACAAGTTGATGTAAGTAGTATTTTTAGTATCGTTGTATATTTAGGGGGGTGATGTTGTATGAACTTACACTTCTCTTGATTTAACCTCAAGAAAGCCCTTTACATGCCTAACGTAAAAGGTAGCACCTTGTCAAAAGCTAATGTAGACACTACAAACCTTCTCAGAGGCAAAATATCTCTGCTTGTTGGTTGCTTCAATAGGTTTGGAGAGGTACGTAAACCAATCGCTATTGTGGAGTAATAATGAAGCTATCCACAATACTAATATCGCAGTTTACGCCTACTCTTTAACAAAACTGTATTTAATAGAATACCAACTAAACTACTAGTTATTTACTGTAGCAACAAGTGCATACATTTACCGATCCCTTCTCGAAAACGTTTTCAAACAAGCCTAATATTGGACTTGTTGAGGTAGGCGGAAAGATATTGTCAATTCTGAAGAGACATTCCACATATAATTTACGGGTATACATGAATTAATTTGTAGTTAAACATGCTGCACAAGTTCATTAATAAATTAATTTTGAAACTATCCATGCCTTACCTTAGAAGCAACACACCAAAGGCACGCCACGTGAGTATTTTTTAGCATGCATTGGATTCATTCCTTCTGAACTAATTTCCCAATTTGTAATTTAGAACACGTATGTGATCGTTTCGGAAGATATAGAGTCCATAAGGAAAGCTCTCCACATGACAAATGTTCATCGCGGCTATGCCTTTCTCATTGATCCCGATTGTCGAATACGGTGGGCAGCCCATGGGAATGCAACGGAGCAAGAAGTCCGGACAATGTTAAATTTAACAAACTTATTAGAACAACAGTGTTGACAAATAGGAAAACCCCATATGATGGAATGTCTATAGCCTGTTGGCATAAACTTGTTACATTCAAGGCTTTTCTTTGGGAGAGTTGGGAGTCATTTTCGGACACAATTTAAAATCGTTTAATGAAAGTTGATAAGCTTTCAATAGCATATAACTTAGATATTACTAAAAAGCAGAATAAATACTAACTAGCGTATACAACTAGAAGGAACTTGTATATAAGTCAAATAGCTGTTAATCAACAGTGTATGACGGACGTAACAGTTATAAAGATCAATCAGCTTTAACTATCTTACAACCCCAAGTTTCCGGCCTCTTCCATCACCTCCTGTCGATTGCCCCATGCCACATGATCGCTTCATGTTACACGCTCATCTCCCTCTCCTGGTATATTACCTCACGCAAGGGAATGATGAGCCAAGTGGTCCATGTGCAGGTTGTACATAGTCCTGACTAGGAAGTTCTGATTGATGTCATTTTCCTTCTATCAGTTGCTATCGCTCAGTTCACACGATTTACCATCTTCCTCTTCTGGCATAATACCCCCTACGTTGCGCATTACCAGAAGAGTGGTGTGTTGGTTGTACACTAGTTTCTGGTTGAGAAGCTGTATTTGGCGTCGTTTTGGCTGCACCTCCAGTGTTAGAATTGCTAGAACCCGTTGGAGCATTGGTCGCAGCCGGAGTAGACGAGCTAGTTCCCTCCTTATTCGCATTGCTAGACTTTGACAAAATCTTGATCACTGGTCTCGCTTCCAAGCTATGTCTCTTGTCACGATCTCTATCTCTTCTACGATTCTGATGCGAGCCATGATAATCGCGTGTCGGAGACATTGGAGTTGTAGGCGTTGTAGGGGTAGAATTTGATTTCTGTTTATTTGAGGGTGATGCTGGCACGCTAGACGTTGAAGACGCTGTAGCCGTTGATCCAGAAGCCGCGTTAGTAGTGTTTATCGAGAACTGCGACGTATCCTTGCTAGAACTAGTTTCTACTGCGTCAGCAGACTTGGAAGTGGATGCTGGTCTTTGGATAATTGAGCGTATTCGATCTTTCTGTCGCTGTTGAATGGAAATCTTCACAGGTGACTTCTTGTCAACCTTTGCATCTGCCTTGGTCTCTTCTGATGTTCTTGACGATGGATTTTGTTCCTCTCTATCCTTTTCTTTATCCTTCTTATCTTTTTCTTTGTTCTTCTCTCTTTCCTTCTCCTTTTCTTTTTCTCTGGCCCTTTCTCGATCCTTCTCTTTCCTCTCTCTCTCTTTCTCTTTCCTTTTCTCCTCTCTTTCCTTCTTCTTCTTATCCCTTTCCCTTCTATCCCTCTCTCTCTTCCGCAAGGATCCCTCCTTTTTGTTGCCTTCCCTAACACTAGCTCTTCCCTGTGCCTTATTTTTTGCTGAATTCTTTGGTCCAGCTGGAGGAGCGAGGATAGCAATCGGCGCCTGTCTGCCGCTTTTTGGAGATGACGGTTTAGATTTCTGAATACGGAGATAATCTAGCAATGGAGTAGATTTAGGTTTCTCAGGGGCGGTCGTGGTAATGTTAGATAACCGCGATTCGAGTTTCTCAAGCTGAGTAAAACCGGAATCATTGGAAGGTTCTTTAGTTTCTTCAGCTTTTAAAAATTCAAGAAACGCAAGATAGTCCGGATCTATTGGAATAAATTTGAAATTTGTGGTGATAATATCAATTAAATGTCAGAGCATTGTTGATTCTTGTCTGCAATAGCAACAGCCTCGTTCAATTCATCTTACCAGTTTCAATCGACCCTTGACGTGGATCAGGTTTCTTGCGTTCCTTTGGCAGTTTTTGGTAGGGAGCAAACTCGACCACGCATCTCGTCTCGTTTCCTGATTCGAAAACCAATAAGGTGAGAACATTACCCTCAACAAAGTCGGGGGAGTGACTTTCAAAAGTTTATGTACCAACCTCTATTATCAATAAACAGGTGATTATCATAACTGCGATGAAATTCAAGAACGTCTTCCATAAGTTTAAAGTGAATATACGCTCGTGAGAATATTGCTTCTTTATTTTTGCTATTTATTAACAACAACAATTTGCAGTTTGTCAATTACGAACAGCAAAGTAAACATATCAATGCAGCAAAGTCGAAAACCAATTTTCAGTCGTTAGGGTTTAAAGGAAACAGTACCTTTTGCTTATTCTGCCTTTATGGAACCTGAGCCAATCAGTATTCTGTTCATTGGCCCATTTCTTAACGCTTTCCTTAAACAATTCTTCGGGAAGGTTCGGCGGTAATCGACGAACTACAACTTTTGTCTTGGTCACATTCTTATTTCGTCCCGAACGCTTTGCTTTCGATTTTTTGGGTCTGCCTGGGCCCTTAGAAGACATTGCAGGGCAGGGAAGTGAAAGTGATCAGACTACATACCGAGACTTTAAATCTGATTGGATTATCAGAGGAAGTGTATTACCGTGCATCAATAATAGTGAATTCTTATTCTGTCACTGAATCACTGTTTTTACCTAAACCTTATGTGATACTTATTTGAACACGATTTATTAAGAGACACCATTGACTATTAATTTAGCATTTCGAATGATTTTAATTAATTTTCATTTCATTAGCAGAGTAATCACGTCTCAAAAGTCATGGAGACCAATCTTACATTTGTGATTAATTGTGACGATTAGATGCGATTGTAGCTATTAAGTATATGAATTCACTTGGAACGTTATCCAAAGAGACTTTGTATTTTCCCTGAGGGAGAGTACAAAACTATAGCGGGAAGTTATTAGTTATGACGTAAATATTTGAAATTGTTAAATAACTCACAATGCTCACGATACTTCACGATACTTCACGATAGTTCTACGATACTCCACGATAGTTCTACGATACTCCACGATACTTCACGATACCTTTACGATAGTTCTACGATACTTCACGATAGTTCTACGATAGGTCCATGATACTTCACGATACTTCACGATACTTCACGATACTTCACGATACTTCACGATACCCAATGATATATCCCCCACGATATCTACTAATTTATACTATAAGGGTATATATGCTTGAGTTTTTTAAAAATTAGTGGCCATTTATTAAGATATTCTGTTTAACTCCTTTTTATTCAATGGCGGCTTTCTTCGTCTTTTAAATAGAAAGACTTTTGCTATTGATTCACTTAATTCAAGCATCCTTCAATCGTTAGGGAAATACAGCATGAATCGATTGTTACGAGATTTAGGACGTGTCAGTATGAGTACTCATAATGTATTTTTGGCCATTGATAGACCAGTAAATATACAAGTCTCGTTATGTCGTCTAAATGCGATTGCGCTAATAAAAAGGTTATTATGACGAGAATTTTCGTATATGTCAAGAGTAGACGCTTTACAACTGTACTGGGTCCATTATTATAGAAATATCGTATATTCAAAAGATCATTTGACTGGATCATCCGAATCATCGCTGGGTGGTTTGAGAATTCTGATCACATCCTTTGAGAAGACGTAACTGAATCCGGACCATATTGTTGTTACGGCGACGGTATATCTGCAAGAATGACTTCAGCAATAAGTGATGAAATTGCAGATACAAGCGTATGAACAGCTTACTGTAATGCAGTTAATCCAGGCGTAATTGGCAAGTTGAAAGCCGGTGTGCATAAAGTGACCCCCATGAGGGCTAGTTGAAGTGCCGTATTGACCTGATATGTATCCAAGTAAAATTAATTCAAAGAGTCTAATTCCAGAAATACACGATGTCAATTACGCTGTTACCTTGCCTATCAAATTGGGTCTGACTTCAGCCGACGAAATCGAAATATCGAAATATCGTAACAATGTTTTCTATTTGGTGTTTACAACAACATTAGAACGAAGCGGTCATTATAGAAATAATAAACGAAGCACATAATGGCATACTGGTGGTGGCAAAGAGATGAAGCGATAGTAAAAGGATGAAATAACTAATCCTGCATCTCGGGCTAAAATAATGATAGCTAGTGGGGCTGATTGATATAAACAGAATTGGTCAACACATTGAATTTGTACAAGAATTGATTAATCTTTCCGTCAGACTCACTTGGTAATAATCCCTTAGCAGCCAGACTGACAGTCATGATTGTCATCAACGTCTTATCAGCAGCAGGATCTATAATAGTCCCAATCATCGTGCGCATATTATAATGACGCGCTATATAACCATCAAGCTTGTCGCCGGATGGACATGTTAGAAGATTAGTAAAAAAGAGCAATATCTACTATTATGATTGCACATCACGAAATTTATGTTAAGGCCCACCACATCAGTAAATCCAGCATAACAAAATGCGGCAAAAGCAACTTTATAGTTTTCGTTTAGTATCAAATATCCAATGACTGGGCTTATTAGCAACCTTGTAAGCGTGAGGAAATTGGGAAGCGTGCGTATGTCTTCCTTTACTGGAATGTCTTTCAACTGGAATACCAAGGTTAGATCCCAAGTCACAACAATGAAGGATACTCAAATAAATTTGCTGACTCAACTCACTTTTTTTATTATCTCCTTGGCCTCTTGTGAAGCTGATTTTTTCCTTTCTGTGGTTTGTTGATCGGAGCTGAAGCAGCGTGGACTAAGTATGAATGATAAAACATGTCTGCCCGTGGAAAGAAATAATCCCTGCTAAGCATTGATGCACTGTACTGCAACACATCAAAATATTTAAATTTGACCTTGATCTTCTGGGGGAGAAATGAGTTAGGTGAAGCGGTGAATTGGCCCGTTTTTGATAATCCAGCAAACCAACTGCCTGTGTTCTGCGCGTCAAACTGTGACTTGCAAAAGTAGAAATGTATATTTCATAAGAATTGGCTACGTGATATAAATAGCAGGTCTTTACCCACCAAGATATGGTATTAGAGTACCTAACACTATATTTCAGACTAGTTATCTGTCTTAACCGAGATGGTATTTTTGGCACACGAATCGTTTTATATAAGCTTGCAAGCATTGATTTGAAACAGACAGAGATATAACTGTTACCGTAATATTTACAACGCTCACGTGTCGTCATTTATTATCAGGAATTTACCTGCCAGGTCGCACAACCCGACACGTCGTACAGTCCATAATATTTCTATTTATGGAGGAGAAGCCCCAATGAAAGGATGATATTTGAGCTTGCACGACCTGGCAGGTTGTGCGACATGGCAGGTAAATTCCCGATTATGTCATTATCCAAATAAGATTAAGCGAATAGATGTTATAATAATAAATTCACTGGACAATACATCGTTTTGTCCGTCACACCAATTAGACGGTTAATCAATTACTCTCTTACGTAATAGTGAGAAACAATTGCAAAAATTATAATAGCTAATTAAAGTATTATTGCGGCTTGTAAATTTTGGGTCCCAACTCGTTAAGACCTATCGCTATTTGACAGTGAATGAATTACTTATAAGGAATATGATATAAAAAAGTCTTAACTTAGTAAGGGACTGCTGTGCGAGCATGTCTCAAATGGTTCTAACAAGAAAGTAAGACCCGTAGCAAACTTATATGATTATTCAGATTGTAGGTTATATTATATAAAATTTAAGAATAAGTTCAAGATAAACGCCGGAAGGGCTGCCGGCTAGACTGCTTTCCACACCCACATTAATCTTAAAAAAGTCGTCAGTGATTATGAAGACGGGTTGCTTGTGTTATTCATTGAAATGATTGAACAAAAACAAAGTTCACATTGCAGCTATTAGAACAGGCACCAAACGACTAAAGTGTTACCAGTGGTAATAAATATTTATTGGGATGACATATTGTGGCTATACAGTATGGTTTCTCAAGCAGAAGAAAGAAGTTTAACATTGAGTCTAGAAAAACAAAAAATAATCTAAAAGCATAAAAAGGTGTTGTCATTCAAATGCTTATCAGTAGCACACAGAATACTAAAAACTAAAGTCCTATGATTGAATAAAGACAATATTTGTTACACTTACAAGTCAATACCTTTGTAGTGAATTTGTATTTGTAATCATATATTCTATACACTAACCATTAGAACTGCTTTTGTATACTGTTTTAATCTTTGTAATGTCCTTGTGACTTTGTTCTTGTACTATAAATAGAAATTGAGTTCTTTATTAACATGTTTGTCCTGTGTGCAGTGATAATAATAATAGGATATTATCCTGAAGGTCCAAAGCAGTCAGAGAAGAATTTGATTCTTGAACTTTGCCAAAGCTGTTGCTCCTGTATCTCCAATTTGATTTCTAGTAAGATCCAAAGAAGTCAGAGAGGAATTTGATTCTAGAGCCTTTGCCAAAGCTGTTGCTCCTGTATCTCCAATTTGATTATACT